GTGCCAGAATATTAACCTGCTCACCTTGTTTTCAAATTTCCTAGAATCAATCCTTTGTAGTATTGTGGGTGATATCTGCTGAAGAAGCAAGAAGTAGTTTGAGATAACTCTATACATTTCGACTGAATTTTCGTCAGCTGATGAAATCCATCCTAAACGTTACATCTAAATATGCAGAATATTCTGAAAGTTTCCAGTGTTTATAGAAAAGTAATTTAGTTGGGTAGTATTGATTCCATTGTAATGATTCAAGTATGCCACTGAATGCCATCGAACTGTCTCATAATCTAGTTCTAGGGTATACTGAAAACTGACTTCTCATCACACGTGATTTGAAGTTACCAGATGACATAAATGCACAGGATTACCACTCAGTCAGCATGATCAATATGGATCAATCAAAGCCATAATATTTCCTTTTCTACAAGAACTTCCTGTTGTGTCTCTTTCAAATTCAGTATTAAGTAGGATGTGCGTCGGTGGCACAGTGGTTAGGATTCTCGCCGACCATGCACATGGTCTGAGGTTCGATCCCCTGCCGACGCACACCTGATATCTATGATCGGCCTGCAAAATTTTACCTACCGATATCTATGCTGGAAATTCCATACTTGTACCGAAAATACAGTGTGGAATCAAGCTGTAGCCGAGAAAAGAAATAAAAAAAGCTCTGGTGGCCTGATTTTCGACCAATGCACTCATAAACCTCATATAGGCGTAAGTGATATCGATAAAGAGGGATGTGGCCGTACATGTATATCTCGTAAAATGCAACGGCAATACCGTTCAAAAATTTGAAGTGCAAACTTGAGGTTCCGTATTTCACCCGGAAGGCAAAATATTGAAAAAATACCTTTAGCACACCTTCATTTGGTCCTGTTGGTAGGTTTTTCTGATGTCGAGGATCTTCAGTTCATTTTTCTTTTGATCAGACCGTTTCACTTCAGGTTGTTACAGTCCAGTATGACTGTCTTGAGGTATTCGTGAAATTTTAAATACTGGCTATTCATGAGTATGCTCCATGGGTAGTCTCATTATTATTTAATGAATAGATCTATCACAGCAAATTGTTAGTAATGAATTTAGAAATTTTAACAGATACCGATTAATGTCAACGAAACGCGCTAGCCAGCCTCCACCGGTAGGCACCGTTAACCGAGTAACATTCTGTGGAGCCAACATGTTGCAGAGGGAATTAGTGTTATATTCAGCATGTTTTGATCAGCCAAAAAATGAAAGGAACGGTAGAATATGTAATTTTTTGGTACCTATTGCCTGACCATTTATTAAAGAAGGAGAAAATATAGACATTACTGGACAAGTTAGCGTGACATTGCTCATTGGTCCAAACACTTAACTCCTGAGCATCAAATCACGGGTTCGAACATCAATCCACCTACTGGGGCTTTTGTAGACATGTTTATTTTGAGTCTACATATTACTGAAGTTTTGGTCCACGGTCAAGTATGTAGAAATGTGAGAAGGTTTTAGGTAACATTTCCTTTTCTATACCCTTTAAGAAAAGGTCTTATTACTTATTTATGAATGGCTTTTTTAAGAGGCGCTTTCAAAAAATTACAAATATTCTTATTAAACGTTCTTCCGTGTTAATCACTATCCAAATTGAATGAAAGCGAGGTTGCTATTCTGTCATATTTATTTGAATTTCCTTAATTTAAATATTCCAATGCGAAAATGTTTCTCTTCATCCTTTTATCCTAAAGGCATTGAAATTATATTCGAGTTTTTAGAGAGAGAGAAAAGATAGAACATCTGAGGAGTCGACTTGAAATTCTATAGAGGTCTACTTTTATGATTGTCTCATTTTACTGACAATTAAGACGTTATTGTGAGTTACGTTTTATTCACAATGACATATCGGTAGCTCGGAATCGAGACATTCAAATCTCCTAGGCTAACAAGAAGAGATGAAGTCATCAAATAAGGAGTTAGAAATTTTAAAGAAAACAAAAACTTCAAACGACGAAATGTTGACAGTAATTACAATTATGAAAACGCTATTCACTGCAGGTAGCTGACTGAAGCAGCCGCAGTGAAGATAGAAGTAAGACAACTGCAGACTGCCATCATACTATTACCAATAACATTGCTGAATTTGGTAAAATGGATGATACAGTAGACTGTGTGTGTGAGGAGTGGAAAGATACGGACACGCTGAGTGATGAGACAAGACTCTGGAAGATCTGAACTGTGTTGATGATTTATGTCTAATAACGAAGGAACTTACAGATTTAAAAGCGAAAAGTTACAAGTCAGGGAGAGATTCAGCAAAGACAAGAACAGAAGTGAACATGGAGAAGACAGAGGTGATACCAGTGGGAGAAATCTAATTTCACGTCACACACCAGATTCATGAGCCAAGAACCACTCAGAAACAAGGAATCGAGTGGAAGTTCGAGGCTAACATGATGGAGAGAAAATGTTCCACTGAGAATTAAAGAGAATAATAAATGATATTATAATTACACTGTATTCCCCTTCCACTGAATAAATATATATTTAAGGTTTATAGAAATGTATTTATCTAAAGTCCAATTACTGGCATACAGGTATATTTAAACAATTTGATAGCATTCCATGCAAACGAATTCCTGTTTTTCCTATGGTGCCTGTTAATCATTTCTGTACATAATAACAAGCTTGACAACAACAATCTTTATTCCCCTTCATCAAACTTTCATTCAAAGTGACGCTGATATCCTGAAGTATTGTGATATTCCGTATTGTTGTATTGTTGTTATTATCCTCTAGGGTGGAAAATAGGGATTCAGAGGCGCATCGCTATTTAACTCTATATTCTCAGAAAATTTTCACCTATTTCCAGGATTGACTATGCGCTGTCATTTAACCCTCCACACAGGATCTTCTTCATATCACTTTCAGAACTAGACCCAACCCATTTTTCCCACTAATGTTTCATTCATGGGCTGGACTGTTCCATGGTGTTACTCAAATGTTTTGTTAGAGCAGCCTGTCTCCATTTCCGTCTGCATGTTTGTTCTTCGATAGGTTCCTTTCTTGTTCATTGTCAGACCTCTTTGTTAGGTAATCACTTCCGGACATCTGATTTTCAGTATTGAGTCAGCAAAGGGTCCGGCTTTTGATGAATCTCTGCAGTAGTCTGATGAAGCCATAGTCACTCCATTTCAAACTGCTCAATGCGTCGTTCTTCTTTCATTGCTCAAGTCTGTGTATGTCGTCTGTTAATTTTGTATAATTTTACGTGTAAAAGGGGAAGCATGCCTGTGTCCTTTGGTTCAATGGCTGACAAAATCGTCCACATTTTGAGTCCGTCCCACTCAGTTGCTGTGTATGCGTGTCAGTATGCGTTATTGCTTTTATTGCTCGTTCCCGGCGAATACAGACTTACATCAGTCTCCTTCCTTGCTCTTTATGTTTACTTATTGTATCGTCTTCGTCATTACCCTATTCACTTTTTATGGTATGAAAGACTTCTAACAATATTTTTATGCATCATAATTTAAAGCCCTTTGAAAATACTCACTCTTTCTTTGAGTATTAATGAAAGGCGCCCGCCATATTCTAAGCTAATATCAAGTGCACATGAAAGGGGAAAAACATGAAAGCATTTTATAGCTGACTTACTTACATGATTTGTGTGCACTTTGTACATCGGAATTTATGGATAAATTCATATTAAATAAAAGCACAACAATGTAATTTTCATCTTGTTTTCCTATCTCATTCTTATTCTTAGAATTTTCTCCTCCATTTAGACGAGCAGCCAAAAAGAGATTTTAAGTCCACCGTATCGATTTCTGTCTATCTATTTGTCTATGTATCCGTCTGTGTCTTCTTACATCATTTTCAGTGCATCATCATTTACCTTCGACACTCACTAAGTGCAATCACTTACACAATCTGCTATATACTATATGTAATTTTTGGTTGTCACGCAATTGTTTTCATTTTTCTGATACACACATGCACAGTAAACACACGTTACATTTTCTCATACAGACACAGCCACATAAGTATCTCTGATTTCCTGCAGTTTATCATTCTGTTTTCACTTCAGTGTTTAATTATTTTCGCTTTGCATGCTAAGTTTATGCTCTCCTGGACACATTTGGCTGGAATGTAAGTTTTTAATGATAATTTATTAATTCCTTTTGTAAGACATTAGAGAAGACAACATAATACAGCAAAGATACTCTCGTCAATGAACTTATTATAAAGTTGTACAATCTTACATCTATATATGATACTTTAGAAACCTTATGCTTTGAAGAAATTTGAGCAAAATCTGTGAATAATTATGATAAAAATAGTTTGAAGTGAGATTAAATGGTTTGTGATAATAATCACAGTTCAGTATCAAGCGACAAAATAAATAATGCCACAGATATAAAATAGCTCATAGATTACATAGAGATTTTGGAGAACGATGTAACATAAAGAGGATTAATAGGATTAGATGACAAATAAGGACATTAATTAACATGCAGATGAGTCATTGCATTCCATCTTAGTGGCTGAGTGGTATTACAGCCTTCCTTGTAACGTGGAGATGATGAGTTTGACAGCAGATTGTATCATAGATGCGTTTTGCTACTGAAGAGTCCCAAACAAGGACCGAACGGATGAAAATTACTCCCAACTTTCCCCAAATGAATTCAGTTCATCATCAGTTTAGAAATCGGTGAAAATCTTGCAAACTAATACTTGAAAATTGATGGAAAAAGTAAAATAGTACGGGAAACTGTTCAAAGTGGAAATCACAAAAGCTGCAACAATCGTAATGACAATAACAATAATAATAATAATAAAGGAAGGGTGCATAGATAAAATGAACCTGGCCAAAAATATAATGTTTACGTCAATTTCCTTCTTTCCTGTTGATTGACTCAACTGGATTTTTCGGCTTCTTTTGATATGTATTCCCCCAGTACTGATATTTTGATGATGTATATGGATTGACATTGCAGTTTTGAGGCCTTTCAGTGGTGTAGACTCACGGTTTCACCAGCGGCCATGTTTTGAAATTCCAACGAGAATTCCTAATCGATATGGCACTCTACTGTCAGCAGTAGCGCTATATAGGTATATTTTACAGGCGATAAATTCCCGTCTTAGTGCATGAGTTGTCAAAGGATTAGTCTGATAACCTGAAAGATGGACTATTACTTAGTAGAGGTGTGCATTATTGAAGATTCCTTAACATTAACGAAAGAGCTGTCCAGAATCCTTCCGTTTTCAACGACTTTGTAACTGATGTTGGTCAGTTGTGAAACCTAAATTGAATTGTTGTCGCTAGTTTTCACACTCGAAGGTGAAAAATATTTCTGGAATACTAATTTGTCTTTGAGGAATCATTATTGATACACTGATAATGATAACCGCTCTCTTCTTCCCATAGAGGCAAGCGAAACAACTGCCTCGAGTTTTGATCACTTATGTATTTTCTGATGTGATGTAAGTGACCTTCGATGACTTATACCAATCAGTAGTATCTTGTAACTTGTAAATTAATTTCAACCTTAGAAATTAAAAAAAATTTACTGAAAGTTGTAGAAAGTTTTATAACTGATGGAGTTTAATATGTCAGAACATATTATCCATTTGATTCCGAACTACTTTGAATAACTAAAGAGTGGTGAAGGGTATTTGTCTTCTGAATATTGTTAAACATATTATGTGGCTCTTGTTCACTAGAAGTCGATTGGACAACACTTTTTGGCGCTTTAACCATGTGTGATGTAATGTGGTATCCACTGAGATCAAAATCACTCATCAGGAGTCCAGTCACTATCACTTTGGATTAGAATTTGAATTCTAACAATAAAAAGTTCAACATAAATGCAAATTAACAACCAAACACAACCAGCCAAATTCGCCGGGAGAAAGAGTTATAAGTAAGCTTTGCAGTTAAACCACTCGACTGCCTCAGAGAATGACACAACAATTCCACTTTGCCTGACATATTCAAGACTATTTTATTTTCAGCATTCTTATACAACTCGACGTGTGACCACTTGAGAGACGGACAGTGGCAGTACTGACCTAAAAAGTGTTATATTAACGACTGAAGAGTAAAGTCTTCTTGGTGTAAATACCCTTACAATTACATATATATTTGCATATATAAATATATATATATATATAATTCATTTGCCTTAACAATATGTAACGTAAATATGGCGAAAATCTCCATTTCGACAATTAGAAGACAAAAAACATTTAGGAAAGGTCACCCTTTTTGATAACTCCTTCATTTAACTATTACACTTGCATACACATAACCGTATTTACAGGGTAATTATTTATCGAGTAAAACAATATCGAGTTGTTAAGAGGATCCATTGAATTACATTTCAGAGAGATGTTCTTTTGCGATAGTTTGCATTAATATATATATATATATATAATCATAAATTGAATGCCAGAAAAAATCAGCGTGACAAAATGGGGTTAAGTGTTAGCTTTTTAGATTCAGCTGAAAAATTACGTCAGAAGCCACTTAAAGAAGCCGAATTTATGTGTTTAGAAAAAGTTCGTACAACCGCTTTCCCTCCATGTCCATTATTACTACTTGATTTGAAATCTGATAATTTCTTCCCAATCTTTTTCCAATAAACCTTTTATACAAGTCACTATTGTTTTGACTATCCTTAATTGTCGCATTAAATTTTATCCTAATTTTATCTGATATTCATTTTAGCATCACTTTTAATGCATAATATCACACGTGCACATGATTTTGAAGTGTAATTCCACTTATCCTACTAACAACTTAATGTTATTAAAAAAATCATTAACGTGAAATGTTTCGTGTTATGTGGAAAACACGCTGTCTCCCTCTTCACGTTTGTGGCCAACCTTATTAGCAGTTTAGTCGATTCTGCCATTTCAGAGAAGTGAATCAATTCAAATCGCCCGAATCCAGCCAGCTAGTGAGATCTAATTACTGATATACCTCAATGGGTAGTATGTACCACTGTTGATTTATGTTTCCCTTATTGACTGATAGTTACGCTATCAAGCAGATCACATGCTCTGGTGAAATTCCATCTCTAACTGTGAACATGAAGAAGAGCAAACAAATTTATAAATTGGGTATTTGATTCCCTGTATTACCAGTGAACCCCGATTTCTCACAAGAATTCGGGTGTTTTGAACCGATTCAATTCTCTGAGTTGGGTCAATGAATCCGGGAATGCTTCTGATGAACCCAAAGCACAAACCATTATGACGGTCATAACATTACTTCAACAGTTTGCTTAGCAAGTACTATTGACTGGTGTGAGTGGAATCTAACGAAGTATATCGGTCTGTCAGTAGTAAATAGCATCACGCATTTATGCAGTACTTATATTTCCTACACAAGATTGTGGTATAAAATTGTAGACAATTTCAGTATCATTATGATATTGTTTGAAATATTCCTGTTTACATGAAGAAACGTTGACCCCGGAAGTTGTGCATACTTAAACGACAACGATTACAGTAAGTGGTAGGCAAATGTTAGACTTAAAAGGGACGGTTATTCAATACAACAAATGAAGGCGCTATATTATTGTATTGTTTCAGCCCCTGAACGATAATGGTAATTTATAACTCATGAGTTTATATTTTCTCCACACAATCAAGGGCAAACACACTCATACAAGCACACAACATACAAGTGCATATTTGCATAGATACAACATGTTGTATTTCCCGTCAATTGCTTATATTCTAGAGAACTTTTCAGTTTATGTCGACATGTAAGCTCCTCTCACGGACACTACGATGATATCTGAGAATCAACAACTCGTTATCTGATGAATGGTAAATAGTAGTCGCGTTAGAAAAGGTGGGTATTAGGTGTAAATGTCAACTGGAACACCGTTGCTCCAGCTGGCGGGTCACACATAGAACGAAATGTACGTCACGGATTCCACTGCTAGTCACCATTCACCAAGTAATATGCATATATATTTTACTTATCGAGCAGTGACACAGCTGAATAGAAACTGTTGGATTCAGCGATGGTATCACCTGATTCTGCACAAACCATTTTGTTTCTTATTCAAATTCACACAAGCCATAAATAAGTATATGCAACAACTGCATATAAGTTGAAAGTGAAGGTTTAGACCACGCTGTCACGACTGATACTGAATTTTTACCCAGTAGGAGAATAATTGGCAAATGTCAATCACGAATTTTAATTTATTCTACGGATCCTCTGTGGGAATACCTACTTTCCTTACAGTAGTATAAGAAAACTAGTCTAACCACTAGTCACTATATCAACCACCATGAGAGAAACAGTGGTCGATAATGAATATATACACCTGAATTATGGTTTTTCGTAGGAATCGGGACTAGCTTCAATGAAGATCACGTTGCAAACCAACATTACTCAGAGATCATTGTAGACCAGTTTGCACTGGACAGCATTTCGTCCTAGTTTTGACCTCATCATGAACCGAAACTTGGACCTGCCAGTCACGATACCAACATCCTTGACCATTCAACAAACTGGCTGGGAATTCAATATATATTCACTTCACCAAACAAGTATGAAACAGATATTCAAAGCTCTCATATCTACTGGTCACTAGGTGACGCTGGTCCATGACTTAATCATTCAAAAACCCTATAAAAACTTGCGATCTAAGTACTGACCTCCATATCACCGATGGCTAGCAGTCGAAGAATGTCCTGAAGTTGTATTCGGAAGTCATGTTTTGTGGCATCCACCAAGATTGAAGTTGAAATCGATGATTGTTGATGCTATTGGTTGAACGTTGCATGACATCACAAATGCATCGAAGTTAGAATTCATGGGTTATTCCATTTGGGTCAAAGTTACTGGATAGTCAACTAGCTCGATCACGAAACCTCCAGGATGAAACATCTATCTGATATTGGTTTGTGACGAAATCTATTCACGAATTTGTACACATTTCCCGAGTTTCTTTGACAAACACTAGTGACCCAACAACTGATAAGGGCCCGGATTTCAGAGTGACTGAATAACACTAAAAGACTTCAACTGTGCACGGAAACAGAAATTTGGGTTGTTTTCAGGTTAAAAATGAGTAATATCATTGACGTGAAATTAGGCAGAAAATTAAAAGACTATCCACAAGAGGCGTTAAAACATCGCAATGATAATAAGCATAATGAACACGAGTTACCTTATCAAGCCGCCTTTCAGAAAAATCTGCATCAGCTTTACGTATTTCCAAGTCATCGGCGTATTGGTCAGCATTCTGAATATACCGAAGAATACACGAAGATCAAATTGGAACTATTCTTAGATCAAGATAAACAAGTGAAGTGGAAACAAATAGAACAGGAGTAAAATATCTGAACAAATTTCTGTCCATACATTCCAAGGATTCATGAATAATCCTCCATCCGGCATTATTGGATAGAACTGAACAAGTAACATCCAGCTAAGTGGCTCTTCTCAAAGAATGCATTTTCCACCTCACCTGTACAACTAAGTTTCCTCGAAAGGGGATGGCGATAAAAGTTATGATTTGTTTGTCATATTCGTGGTTGTTCCTTTTATTCCTTTGCATTTCGAGTGAAGCAGATGCCTTCAATGCTTGGGCTTTGAATTTTCAGGAGGCATGACGTTTCCTTTTACGGAGAATAGCGGCCAGCCGAAGACTCATCCTTCCTTCTGTACTGTGTTTACTGTTGGCTAGGCGGTGGTTAGGAGTTGGTCAGCCGGGAAGTGAACTTATTTTTTTTTTTATTTTTTTTTTTTTTTGATTTACAGCTTGATTCCACACTGTAGTTTTGGTGCAGTATGGAATTTTCAGCATGGATATCGGTAGCCCAAATTTTGCAGGCCGACCATAGATATCAGGTGTGCGCCGGCGTGGGCTCGAACCCCGGACCATGTGCATGGTCGGCGAGAGTCCTAACCACTGTGCCACCGACGCACATGTGTAGTTGGCGTGTATACTGGCTGTGAATCGCTGACACACTGTCACAGTCAGTTATAGTAATCAATTCATGAAAGGAGTTGAATAGGTGTACTCGACTTCCGTGATAAATAATTTGATAATTTGGTTGCATAGCCTGGATACTCTGTCTTTCACTTCAGGAATCAAGACCAGCCGTGTGGTGAATGTGATCTGCACCCAATAAGTATCAGAAGTTATTTGAATTGATTTTCTCATATTCTTGGTTATAGTGTTATGAATTAAAATGTTTGCTTATATATATATATATATATATATATATATATATATATATATATATATAACAGGGGAACCTGGTCGCGATGGGTCCACATATCTTCTGCATGTATATTTCGTTATATTTAAAGCTTGATAGTGTCGAAGCTAAAGGAAGATGCATATATTTGGTCATTGCTGTCTGTGGAATACGAACTGACACCGACACACACACACATTTTCACTCCTATATATGTAGAGTGTTGTGTAAATTTGTAGCAGATTTTGATAAATAATCTTGATTAGTGGGTAAATCATAAATTTCGGTTTAAACTTCATCACAAATCTACGTCAGCTAGGGAATCGCTGTAAGACTACTCGAAATTGAACAGCTATCTCTTCACCAGTACACGAAGACACACAAACACACACACTATCCCGTTATGGATGGAAACCGTCACACTAATTTTACGAAAACAGGACATTTATCAGTCAGCGAATGTCCCTTCGATTCTAGTTCCCTTAAATTCACGACATAGCATCACCTAGCTGGCACTGTAACTGATGCGTCCTGAGTTGGAATACTGATCAGATGACAGAAGTACTAGGAGTATTGCGTAACGGTAGGACACAAAAGTATTTGGCAACAGAAATGGCAGAAGTTAGAATTCAAGAACCATTGGATCGGGTCCCAGTGGCTCAATGTTCTACGAGCTCGCCGTGTAACCAGAAGGTCCTGTGTTCGAAACCCGGTGGATGCGTACTGATGAAGAGTCCCAAACTAGGACGAAACAGCTGTCCAGTACTCCCAGGTTTTCCAGTGGTTCTCTAACTGATGTCAGCTCATGATTAAATCCTCCATACAATCAAACCAAATCCCTACAAAACCAACACTTGAAAAACAGAAATATTTATTGACAACTCGATGTACAGATATAGGCAGAATATTGCGACTACACATTAAAATCAAAATTTGCACACATCTTCGGTACTGTGCTACTTCTGTATTTCATGTTCTCTCACAAACATCGTTCATTTCTTCTCCTTACAATTCAGTGCGTCTCTCCACCATTCAAAACTCTTGCAGATGATACACATACTTATATATGTATCCACATACTACTTATAAATTTTGTCAGTAGCACACGCCACAGTAGTAAAAAGGAATACCGCTACTACTGTAACAACAAAAGACGAGGGCCAGGCAACAGATCGTTTATTAAGGAAATCAACACATATTTATAGATTTTCATGTACACATTATAGATTATTGTTTGCAGAAAAACACAGTCTTCTGATTAGTTGTTTCTCACAGAAAGTTAACCTTGTATCTCTTTGTGACTGTTTCTTGAATGTCAGATCATATATGTGTTAACTGTATCCGCCTGCGCAAAGCCTTTGTTCTCATTTTTCTCGCGACCAATATTGGGGACATAAATACTGACGTAAATGACTATCCACCAATTTTGACTAACAGTCAGCTCTCACCACAGTAATGGTTACTAAATCACTGAAAGAAATTTCGCCTAATCTTCACTGAAAATATTAAACGAAGTCGAGTGTAGAATGACTGACTTCGGAAAGATGAGAAGCATGTACAGCTTGATGGTAAATTCGTTGAAAAGAGTCTCTTCGCCGAATCACTTGTTTTGATTTTCTACATGTTACAATGGAAATTTTCTATGAGTTATTCTATGTATCCATAAATTCTGCTGGAAACTCCTTCACCTACTGAATAATGCTGTATCACTCTGTGTGTGTGATTCATCAAATAAAATTACACCGAGATGAAATCACAATCTCTACCACAGTGATCGAATTCCAACCTCATTTCAATGCAAATTATGGTCTTCCTACTACGCAACCTGTCAAAAAAGCATCACATGAATTTGTCAGAGTGGTGTACAATTTAGAGACCGTTGTTTTGCCAACTACTGATGATTTAACAGTCACATCATACCACCCTGATATGATCATGAGCAGAAATAAATTGTACTCGAAATGTCATCAGTAATCACTGGGCACGTAAGTAGGTAACAGTGTATCACTGTGTTTGTGGGTGGCTGTACCATTGATTCGCACTCATCTAACACACTCTCCCCAAATTCGATTCTCGTTTAAATGAAATCTGCTTTCCGAACTGATTTGTGCCCTTCGAAAAACATTAGGAATAAATCAGATGAGAATATGCTACTCTGTGGTAGTCGATAGTTACGCTTAGACGAAATGGCTTACTGAGCAGGTTGGTACTTGTGTCTCTTTGCTGAACAATTATTTTCTTCCTCTCAGTGAATACGACACACATTCAACTGTCCCATATAAACTGCTTTGTGTTTGAATACTATCACTTCTGTGGGTGCGTTTGGCTGTCGAGTTGTAGAATGGAAGGTAACATGTGTTCTGCATTGTGATGGTGTTTCCCATCATTTGTTGAATCCAAAAGCAATTGATATTCAGTGGTGTCACGAAAGCGTTCCTACTAGAGCATGGGGAGAATCACGCAGAGTTACTTCAATGAATTATGCTCGAAAGGGAATCAGAAGTGAATAATAGTGTATCACACTACGTTCTTTTATCAGATAAAATTACTCTGTAATAGGAAATGCATTGGTGACTCATAATGTTTGATGCTGTAGGCATTTTGTTGAGAACTAGCCACCTCGAGAGAAGCAATAAACAGTGATATCCAGTGACTAGATATTCTTTTCTAGATTTGAACGATTCAGGTGGTGTGCTCCCACAATCTGACCAGTGACTGAATGTAGAGCTCTCACGTTAAAAGAGTTTGTGTTGATTTCGCGTAATTTCCAAGTAGGTTTCGTGGTGGTGACGCTACATCAGTCGTGAATCTAAACTTCATCCTATTAATGAAGCCATATGAGCTGAGGCTCCTTAATTCGGCCTTGATGATGGAATTCATGTGCGAGACCACTTTCAGAAAATATCTGGCTAGAACGACACACACCACTACAGAGTTCTTCTGCTTTCAGTAATTCTCTGGCGTTTGCGTTGTTTCGCTGAAGAAATCCACATTGAAAGACCCTCATAATCCAATGAATTGTCTTCAGCCTTCATCATTTTGAAACATTTTGTGATTCCGATTATGAAGAAGTGAACGTTTTCTGGTACTTAATCAAACATGATCCTCGTGATATAGTTATTTCGTTGGCACTTGTCTGAAATCCATGTCCAAGTTCTCTCAGTATAACATACTCGGTTGTCAGATTGCGGGTAATAAATTCTTGCAAGAATCTAATCTGCTAGAGAGTGAAATGATATGTGTAACATTTGACCACATCAGCCTACATGTATCAGTTCTCCTTACTCTGTAAACAAAAGTATCATGGCTGTACTCAGCGAATGCCTCATGACCCACCTTGAGTCTAATATCCCCTTTCAACAGTGAGAATTCTGGAGAATTCAGTTGGCATGTAGATGATACCCTCATTATTATCGATGAAGAAGGTGAACTCAACAGAATCCTGGGAAACATCAACAATGCAAATCAAACAGAGGAATCTAAAAGTGAAACGGAATAAGAAGATAACTTATCCTTTTTTGATGTTCAGCTTTCAAGATGATCAGATTGGAGCCTATGGATATCAGACTGGCGCAAGCCAAAATGGAATGAGCAGCAGCCAAACTGACTCAGTTCCTTCATAATTGTTCGGTTACTATTGTTATCGTGGTATCTATTGGAAAATATGGTGTAAATGAATGTGAACATCGAGTGTTGGTTCATTGGCCTTGGTCACCATTGGCAGGCAACTCGAAGGCGCGAATGAATCGATCGTGTACAAGTTGGAAGAAGACGAAAGAATACAAATAAAAGTACAATACATTCCTTGTAAAACATTTGTTTGAATACTTCTTACCGATATCGATTTTAATTGTTGAACAATACAACCTATTAAAAGTCCTTGTGTTTTGGAGTTAACGTCGATAATCGTTCATATTAATTGTCGATTCGAGGCCTCTTCGCAAATAATAGGAACTAAGGGTTAGGTTCCTTGACATAGGGTTTAAATAACACACTCCAAATTTGTCCTACTTTCTGCAGTCCTAGCAAGGTGGTTCCACTATTCGCCACAGTCTCTCACCTCGACTAATTCATCACTTCTCATTCGGCTTACACTCGAAAGGTAGCCTGATATGAGATGTATTTCGACAG